ATTTTATCTAGGTTTCCTTCTCTCATTTAATTACTTTTCTAGGCTCCATAGAGACTCTTATTTTAATCTTCAGATAAAGAAAACATATTTTGTTTACTGTTGATAAAATATTTTTATTAGGCTATGTATTATAGATGATCAGAGTAAACATGATATGCGAGATGCTGGAGAAGAATTGTAGCTCAGGTGGATGATTTTGGTGGAGTTTTGTTCTCTGAGCGGGATGGTTTGGTCGTGAAGCTTTCATCGTTCTTCTGAATGACATCATCGGCACAAACTTCTATCTGAAGTTTGTGCATTTGTGATTTTACATTTTCAAGAATAAAATCACCAAACACGGATATACTTCGTCAATCACTCCACCTCTCCCTCTCTTGTTTTATATCTCAAGAAGTCAGTAAGACGTATCTATAACCTGAATAAAATTGTTACACCTCATAAGATTAGGACTACCATCATCCAGTGTTTAGGTTTTCTCAAGATTACGCAATAATAACTTCCACCTTATCTATTTTTTTGATATGATATGATTTTTGACACTTAGAAAATTCTCATTATAAACCTACATTATCGTATGATTCTTTTATTAATAATGTAGATGGATTTATTGTCCGAAGTCTGGGCTAATGAAAGGCAAGTCAAAATTGAAACAATTCAAAAATTACGCGAAAATCTTAAATTTCTGTCAAACAAATCTCCAAAAGTTCATATAACGAATAAAGCAATTCGAATACAGTATACTGACAGCATAAACAATAATGGTGAGTAGTTTCACATTTAATTATTTATTCTAAGACATATTTCGAATTATTCAAATAAAAACCATAACATGGCCAATGTATAAGAATATCAGATGATGTTAGATAGTCAATTTTCAGAAGTTTAATGGTTCGTTTATTTAGCGATGCACATTTTATTAAGGTGAATACTTATTACAAATTCTACTTAGCTACTTAGCTGTGACCTTAGTGGAATAATACGTAAGAAAACTTCTAAAAAAAACATTTTTGGCTATAATACAAGATTAACCATATTACCAAAACATTATAAAATTACCGCAAAGAATCACTGAGATATATTTTTTTTAAAAACCTTTGAACGTTTACTGTCAAATAATATCAATACAAGTGATTTTTATAGAGTTGCTGTAACTATGTGAAATGGTTCCACCCGAAAGTTTTAGTTGTCATCTCAGACTGCATAACTGACAAACATTTCTAAAACAAACAATCATAACACAGTTAACAGATCCGATATCGACAAAACAAGTGGTCACTTACATGTAGAGAAATTCTAATATTTGATTTTCTAAAATTTCGTTCTTATGTTATTCTAAAAGATAAAGTATCAAAATAAAACCATCGAGTTTAAAGACTAGAAAACTAAGAAAATCATTCTCCTAAGCTAATCATTTATTTAACATCAGTGGGAGTTTTGACGAAGCATAGTATATTATGGTCATTTGAAGGACTCTTGAAATAAGATGGCACTGAATACGTGTTTCTATTTTAGACTGAAAATAGCTATTGGCGTATATTTAGATTTCATAAGGGAGGAAACTCAATGGTTCACAGTTTGCAATTTTAGTTTGGCGTCAAATAAAAAAACAAAACTTTCATACAGCTGGTTCCCTTTATTAATTTTAATAAATCCAAAACAACGATTGAGGTGAGATAATGTGAATTCATTTTATTTCATCTTTTCTCATCAGCCGTATACAGCCATATTCACATTAAAGTGTGACACTGGTACATGACATAATATCGAGCAATTCTGATTCTTTACATTATCAATGTCAGCTGTATGCATATGATGAGAAACTACGAAATAAAATGAATTCATATTATTATTCTTCAATTCTTATGTTGACTTTAGTCAAGCACGACTCAATTAACTTCACTTCTTTTTTATGCCCTACTCTTAGAATATACATATATTCTTACTATTTTATTTTCTCATTTCATCTACCTAGGTGAACAGATACCAGACACGCAAGAACCTTACCTACCATACTCGTTATTTAGTGCTTTATGCAAAGAAATACGCCGTTTACAATCTCGTTCGGTCAGTCTTGTAGAAGCATTAGACTTATTGAGCACAGGGAGTTACAATTCAGAAAAACTTGATCATATTAAAAATTTAGTATTTTCTTCAAACCAAACAAAAAAGTAAGTAGAAAATCTTAAAGCTTTTAATTATGGTGAAACTTCTGGCGTAACGAAGTAGCTGATAAGTTATTTCGAAATTTATAAACATACTAAAAATAGTTTATAAAAACTAGCACAGAACAGCTTGAAATACTTTCGTTATGTTCAAGATTGTCAATCCACGGTGCCACAGTGGATCGTATCTCGGATATTTCAGTATACTGACAAACAAAATCCGCACTTAAATTTCGTCAGTTCTTCCGAAAAAGTGAATTTTCGCCTAGACGATTAACTTCTGCTTTTTGCTAATACTCTATATAAGGCCTCAGTAATTATATACAAGTTATAATGTTTATTTTAGTAATTTTCACATATTTGCCTTGTATCAAATTGACAGTACATACACCATAAATTGGAAGAACATGCCTTTGAACAATGTTGGCACTAATATCAAAAGGAATATGGATACAAGATCATTTAACACTGTTCGATCTATCAAACAGCGTAATATCGGAACTGTATCATCGAATGCCCATTCGCCTAAAAGGATTTCAAATGTTCCTGTAACTTCTCGTTATAGTAAACCTGTAACAATCAGTGATAATCGCAGGCAAAGAATTTCATCATACAAAAATTATTCTGATGGTAATTTTAAACATTTCTCAGTACACGAATCAGTTAATGAAAAAACAGTCTATTCTAACCCACCCACTAGTTTACAAGTAGAAAATTCAGTCCCATCATTGCAACAGCGACATGAACAACAACAAGATCTAGTGCAAGAAGAAAAAGAAGAATGTCTACACCAACCACAAGAACAACAGCTCTTTTATCATTATAATTTACCGATTTCTTTCAGTCCACGTGTACAACGCCGCCCAGTTTCGTTTTATTTAAGTCGAAATATAGATAAATTTGTAAAATTGCCAATCCCAGAAGCTGATGAAGAAGAGAAAACTGACGATGACGAAGAAAACATTAGTGAAGTGGAGGATGAAGATGATGACGAGGAGGAGCAGTACGAGGAAGATAACGAAAACGTAGAAGTACAAGATAAAAATAAAGAGCATTGTAATAATCATATCGGGTCCCATAACCATGAAGGGATTGGGGTAGAAACATCCTAAGGAACAAACATTGTATTAATCAGTAATCAGTCTTTACTGCAAACATATTTTCTTAAACTTTTATTTGTAAAATTCGTTCATAATTGAATATTAATATAATACTCAATCATTTTGTATCAATCAAACTTAAGACCTAATAACCTGTGTACAATAAACTCACATTCCTTTTTATTACATTGTAACATTAATGTATTATTTACAAGCCAATTTACGTCTATATTAATCAACACCTTACTGTAATAACCAAATATCACGTGAATCGAACAAAGAAGGCTGTGTATATGAACAATAAAACACAATTCTGTTTTTATATTACATATATGTAAACAAATGAGTTCTACATCATCATCATTTGTACCATTCTCAGAATTCTCAATATATAGGAATTCCTTTCATCTCTTGAGTTTTAATTGTTTATACAACTCATTCAGAAGATGTAACTATTTTTTTATCTATTAATTACTTCATATTCTTCATTCATTCTTCCCTTATTTTAGATTTTATTCTGTGCCCACTAATGCACACATTGATTTCAATGATTTACTCCTATTTCTTATGTCCAAGATTTATTTTATCCTAACACTTTTTGCTCACTTCCTGGTCGACAGTAATTCTTTTTCTATATGTTGTACAAATAAAAAAACACTGTCATTAAACACAATTTATCGTGTTTTAGACAGTAAGCTCAATAGTTATTAATTCATAATTATATAAATATATATTTTTTCTAAATATACTGTTACTAAATTACTATTATTGTTTTGATGGAATAAACTGTGCTCTTCAACTTTTTGATTTTCATTTTCTTCTAAAAACATTAAACTACTTTGAAACTGAGCTGCGGTCTACACACGGTTGACAAATATTGAGATCTCCAAGTATGGTGGAACTATTGTTTCTCAATCATACAATCGGTGTTTAAAAGTTCTCTAGTCTGTGTTTGCAATGATGAATTTGTGGCACCTGTAACTACTTCGAGAATCCTAAAGATTCTTATCAAATTTTACCCCTTGCCTAACATGAAAATCATTTCCTTGCATACAAACCAAAGCTCAATACTAGTTGTGAAGTTATTGGCTTTTGTTTAATATTACTCACACTAGATCTCTGTCAAAGTAGGAAGTTCTCTTATAAACAAGTTTCTGTTTTCTAGCTTACGTTTCACTGAAGGTTCTATATATAAATATTTCTTAACCTGAAATATGAATAAAGTTATCGTTCATTTGTCGTCTAAATTGTCACATGGAAACACATATTAAACTAACACAACATTTTTTGAATAAAACTTAAAGTATTGTGAAATCTAGTCCCAAAATCCGATAATTATCCGAATTAATTTTCATTAAACTGATTATTCTCATAGATTCTCAAAAATCATGGTTGATTTTTTAAAACATTTTCTCGGGATTTATTTCAATGTTGTATCAGTTACAAATGAACATTATAAAAAGCGAAATTGATCACTTATTTCACAGACATGAATAACGATTTAAAAAATCGCTCAAAATCTATTAATCTGAACACAAATTAAGCAAATTCATTGTAATAAATGTCTTTTACAAAACAAAGCAAGAAAATAATAAAAAGTTAAAACGTGTTTTACAAATTAAAGTGAAATAACATTGTCCTCTACAATTGCAGTTAATAAATTAGTAATATTTCAGATTACAAATGTAAGAATATTATTTGTAAAATCAATACGCTATCGTCGGTAGATTTAGATACCTTAATCCGGAAGTGATAAAGAGTTCTCTTTAATCATAGGTTCGTTTAATTTATTTGAATGAATAAAATGTTTTTCTTTGATTAGTAAATTACTGCACAGAGCTTCTGTATTGGGTGAGATAACTGTTTCGATATTGTTTTCAAGCGGTTCAGAAGCAATGTTCTTTGTAAGATTCTGATGAACTTCTGAATACTTGTCACGTGAAACGGTTATATTAGCAACATTTGTATTTCCTCTTTGAATAGGGTCCAACAAAGTATTTCCTGATAACCTATAAAATACAAAGAGCTGAGTATAGTCAACCAATGGAAGGCTAAATATAGTATTAGATTGTTTACATGGAAAACCATACAGAACATCCACGTTATGGTAGGATAAAATACCTATTGCCTGCTTCATCATAACATAATTAATTTTTATCTATTCACTCGGTTAAATAAACTTTTTTAGTTTAACAAGCATGTTTCGAGGTTCTGGGTAACCGTCCAACACTTGTTGACAATCCTCTGTGAACAAGATTTCCACAGTGGGACTGATGCTCCGTCAAGAAAATTCATTGCTTAAATCCTACGTAGTTTCACCCACCTTATACTCCGTATTGTTAATAAATTGAGTATCGAATGAATTACAGGTGCTAGCTTAACGTAATGACCAGATTTGTAACTCCATAACCGTTCGACGAAAGTATCTAGTCATCACAGACAATATGGTCCTAATTCAATCAAGAAACTTTTTTACTAACAATCGAAGTAGCTTTAAACAGCACAATGACGTTTGCCATTATGAAAAGTCAATGGCAAGTAATGTGTCAGAAAGTTTTGAATACACTTAAACTAAATTACAGATCTTTGCCTTTATTTTCCAAGTTGAAAGTAAGCACAATTTGTAGACAAACACTTGATTCCTCTGTGTATAGCACTATTCATACATATTCCTCAAGATTTATGAAATCATAAGTATGCAGTTTACTCTGCTTACTAATATCTCGTCTCATTCAGAAATAATGAATTTCAATACCCACATATTATTTAAATCGTAATGAGAACCATCTTTGACAGCCAATATATAGACAATAGGATTATTTATGCTTTATATTTTACCTTACAAAATGAGATTAATGGTAGAGAAAATAATGAAATAATGAAGCGTCTAAAGACATTTTTAATTTAACAGTTCAGTTAAACACCTGAATGGAAAAGATGTTTGTTAGATGTCGACCTGATGATTGATGCACTCCACCTTTAGTATTTGTTCATTCTTTAAAACTTCACTTCAGATAATTGAGCATTATAGTGCCGGTGATTTTTACTTACAATCTACAGCTTAAAGTTTGAACAAGCTGATATGTGCTTGACTTTTGAGATTCAGCAACCTTTGACTAGTAATGATCTATGTCTTACAACCTTCTTGTGATAAAATTATAGCCATTGCCAAAATATAAACCAGTTTAACAGTGCACTAATAAATCTGTAAATTGAAATGTTTCTTTAACTACAATGACAAAAGCTTACCGAGATCCAGAGGTATATCCCACTAAACAATTTCCTCCATCGGAACTATTGATATTTCCACAAAATTTACTGACTAACCAATTTGTGGAAATCGTCATAACCAACAAAAACAAAATACAAATAAATAATGGTAAGAATATTTCATTATATGTGAACAGTTTAATGTTATCTAATCGACAAACCAAAAGAACAACGAATATAAGAAAAGTAAATGCGACTGATGTGCATCCAATCATTGAAACAATATCATAAAAATCTTTCTGAGTGAAACGACTCAATCCACATAACATACAAACTAAAAATAGCAGTAATGCAATCAAAAATCCCATTATTATCCAGAATGGTATTAACACTACAACCCATGTCCAATTAATATAATTATCTAAACGTAAGGCAATTAGAATGACACATGGAAGATTTAATGCAAGAAATTTCTCACAATCATAAACAGTTAACTCATAAAATGCTTTTGTGAATGTTAAAAATCCTAAAACGCATAAACAATAAATTGGTATAAAGACAACACACCAATTTAATACATTTTTTTCTAGTTTAATACATAGAAATATTTGAAATGTGAGTATTAAAATTTGATAAACATAATAGAATAAACAGAATTTAGTTAAATTGAGAGATTTAAATAAGAATAAAATGAGTGAACCCGCAAACACTAAAATATTCCATAACCAAAGTGGCATAAACATAAACCACGCATTTATATGAATATAATCATTGATTTTTAGAAGGCAAAGAATAAGATTTACTGAAAGAACCAATAAAAATAAAGCTTTTTGAGTAAGAACATTTTGTAAATAGTTTTGAACAATCATGAGAATAGGATTAATAGTTGTAAGAATATATATACCGAATCCCAAACAAATTTGATTTATTACCACAGACAAGTGTATTTGTTATAAACAACGACAAAAAAAAAGAAACTTAAAAGTAACACTGATTGTATTTGAAAAATCCACTTAGGCAGTAGATGGATAGTCAGATCTGAAAGAAAAGAGATAATAAAAAATTAAACAATCCAGGTTGCATAATAATAGTGAGGTTAATTATACGTTAGAGATTCAAAATAATCTTGAAAATGAGAGTACATATAAAATAATTAAAGTATGGCTTATACCCTAAGTTTAAAGTAGATCCTAACGGTGTTATTTGAACTATAGTGAAAGCTGCGCAGTTAACCAAACAAGCTTTAAAAACTTGACACCAACAAAAGCGTTTACCTGAGCTAAATATTTCTTCCATGATTTTATGTGTTAATAGTTTTACTCATTATTATTGAAAGATTTATTACCTATACAAACTATATAGTAATCCTCTGAACAAAATTTCTATCCTTTTTTATGGTATTGCTTTAGTTAAAATCTCTATTAGCTCATAAAGCCACATTAAGGAGTGATTAAGTTCGTTAGATATTTAATGATAGAGTCTACTGAGAAGTAGTAAAGCGTATCAAATGTTCTCTCCAACGAGACACATGGAACAATATTTATCTACCAATGAACTAGCGGAGGACTAGTTAGCCTATTGAAATTAAGATGGATCTCATCACCTTGATAAACTTATGAATGTGCTCTTGCTATTACTTTTAGAACAATACCCTTTTCAGAGACAAATTACCGGACGCTATTTGTTTGGAAATCCACTATAATAAAAAAGAGTCGGTTTTGTTCATCAAAAGTGTTTATTTACGATATAATCTTATTGACTGCCTTTAAAAAACCTCGGTCACAATTCGGTCTTCATGATGTCATTTGTTTATTTGTTAACATGGATTAACCACATAAGTTCGTTTCTGTGTAATGATCAGGAACGGATATTGGTCGTTTTTATTTACAAAACAACGTTACCAAAAGAAACATCTTGAACGGCGAATGATTGCTATAACGTAAGTACATATCTTGATGACAAACTATCACAACATAACGATATAAAAGGGAATCCTGCTTCCATAAAAGTAGTCGAGAAATCGAAGGCTGATCACAGTGACAGATCACTTATTCTTCATAGAATGAAGGAGAGTGAAAGCTCTGAACCCAAAACTTGTTTACAGCATAACATCGTGCTGATAAAACAGCTGCTTAATCAACTCATGCCTCAAAATATCCCCGGATTCACCTTGCTAAAGGTGTACAGACTAGGTAGTCTAGCGAACTTGAAGCCTGATCAATCCAGACTGCTTAAAGTATTATTCAAATCTTCGAACGAACGCGACCTAATTTTACAGAATAGACATAAATTAAAGGGTTCAGGAGTTTTTATTCGTAAGGAATCGCCGTTGGCAGACCGCGTAAAAAGACAGAGAGCCAAAAAAGAACTACAACTTAGGTTAGACGTTGGTGAAAAGGACATAAAAATTGTAAATTTTTGGGTTGTAAAGCTTCGACAGAAAATGATACCGAAACCACTATGAGTGAAGAACGAAGCCACTTAAATAGGCTTTGGATCTGTTACACTAATGCCCGAAGCTTACTCAATAAGCGATTGGAACTAGGTGTACAGATTGACTCTGCAAAGCCAGACATACTTGCAGCCACTGAAACCTTGCTGACACAGTCTATAGATAGTACGGAACTTAATTTCGGGGTTTTTACGTTATTAAGGGCCGACAGAATACATAAGCATAAAAGAGGGGGAGTAGCTCTATTCATTAGGAATGTTAACTTATTCGTTTTTATTGACAGTGTATCCCATGAGAGTGAGACGTGTGAATTAGTTAGTTGCCGCTTGAAATTCAAGAGACAGGAGCTGGTGATTGGTTTAGTCTATCGCATTCCAAGCTGTGAGTTAAATGAGGTCCTGACAAGCAGTCTCAATAAGTGGTCACAAAGCGGTCGATATCTAATCCTAGAGGACTTTAATGCACATATGGTAGACTGTGAAAATCTGCAAACCGAATCGTCAGAAAATTCTACCGAGCAGGAACTAGTTGATGTGGTTATCACATGTGCTGTAGTGCAACATGTGAAAGAAGCGACTAGGTACGACCCGGACACTGAATCATCCTTACTGGATCTTATATTGACTCACAATTGCGAACCTCCACTACATGCCACCCCTAAAAAAATTTATGTCACAGTTTTAACTTTCGACTTCCATATAACTGTCAATCACGAGCTTGATCCAGACTTACCATCTGAAAAGCAAACATATCAGATATCATGCACTCAGCATCGTTAGTAGATCGGACAATAGACCCGCAGTTTCCAATTGAAAGGGCATGGGACGCATTTCGAAATTTATACTTAAAAGTTACCACACCCCGCATCCCTTGGACTATACCAAGGGGGCCGGGAAACTCCTCACCATTGTTTCAATAGGGACGTCCGCATCCTTCTACGTAAGAGAACAAAAATGAGGGATAGATATATGTTACTGTGGACTGATGAGACAAAATCTCAGTATCAAAAAGCTCAAAATACCTGTGCCTCGACCCTCGGTAAGTCTGGAAAGTTGTACGAAGAAAACATTGTTAAGAAATCCATAGAATGCCCTAAACGCCTGCATTCCTATATAAACCGAAGCGCAAAGAGAAGAGGAAATATTCCTACACCATGGGGAGACAGTAGTGCCGCATCATTGGTGCAGGACGACCTTGGTAAGTCTCAAGTGTTCTTGAACTGTTTTAGCGATGTGTATACCTTAGAAGCACCCTTCCCGTAAGTGCATACAACCCCACCCACATTCACTGGATAGCGTGACCATTAAAGAACTCGATATCTTTAGTCTGCTAAATAGGCTTGACAGAGGTAAATCCACGGGTCCGATGGGTCTACTGAAAAACATATCTTACTTCGTTGCAAACCATTTAAGTATATGCGTTAATCTATCCGTAACGCAGGATCGTTTACGAAAAGACTGGAAGAATGCCATAGTATGTCCTGTCTTCAAAACAGGTAAGAAACGTAAACCTGAGAATTACCGATCCGTTAGCCTAACTAGTGTTGTTGTTAAAATCTTAGAAAAGATTATTCGGAAAGAGCTGTTTAAGTACCTTGATGAAAACCAGATCCTTTCGGAGAAGCATCACTGTTTCAAAATAGGTTATTCTTGTCTCACTAACTTATTAGTAGCTCGTGAAAGCTGGTGCACTCTTAAGGACCAAAAGTTACCTGTAGACGTAGCCTACATTGATTTCAGCAAATCGGTTGACAAAGTTCCGCACAACCAGCTGTTATATAAGCTAAGAAATGTCAGAATTAGAGGCCATCTATTGGCGTGAATAAAAGACTTCCTAGTTGGCCGCAAACAAACAGTACGGGTGAACTCGAAGTCATGTAGCTGGGAAACTGTGCTTAGTGGAGTGCTTCAGGGTACAGTTTTGGAGGCATTGCTATTTCCCTTGTATTTAAATGACCTTCCTTGTCTCCTATCATCATCGATCTTGCTATATGTTGACTATGTCAAGATATGGAGAACGATGCGATGTAAGGGTGATAGCTTAGAACTCTAAAATGACCTGAATGAATTATCTGAATGGTCTCAAACCTGGCAGTTGCCGATAAATACTTCCAAGTGTGTTGTGATGCATATCGGTCATCAAGATACAGATACATACACGGTGAATAACACTGAGCTACTTGTCATTCAGATACATAATGACTTAGGTGTCATCGTTAGACAATACTTAAAAACTACTGCACACTGCCGTGCAATAGTCCCCAAAGGTTTCAGAACCTTATGGTCAATACGTGGGGCTTTTAGTCATGTCGACGCTAGAACGTTTTTTACTTTGTATACAGTGTTCGTACGTCTTAAACTTGAGTACTGCATACAAGTGGCTAACCCCTGCTTAAAAAAGACAGTGAGCTTCTGGAAAAGGTTCAGAGAATGGCAACTAAGCTGATTACCGGAAGAGCGAAGCTTCCGTGTGATGCTCGACTGGCCAAGCTAAACCTTTTCTTGTTGTCATATAGTAGAACTAGAGGCAACTTGATTACAGTTTTCAAATTGCTTAGTGCCAAATCCGCAGCTGATATGCCCTTATTTTTCTCGTCTGCCAAAACAGAGAATTTACGAGGACACTCCAAAAAACGTTCACAAGCCCAGAACAAATTACTTGTCAGCTGATTATCGACTTTCCCATCAAAACATCAACGAGTGAAACTCATTATCTCAGCACGTGGTTGAGGCTCCATCCCTTGACCCTTTCAAGAGGAAGTTGGGTCAACTGAGAGGCCGTAATTGTCAGGACTAACACAGACCATCAAGTCACCTGTCCTTTCCAAACTGAAACTGAAAAAAATTATCGTGGTTTTTGCCCTAACCTGCAATGTTGGAAAAACAACAATCCTTAAAATAGAGTACAAATTACCACACCTGAACCTTTCCGTTAAGCTTCATCAAGACTTTGATGCTACCTTCAATGTTGAAATCTGATTGTAGTTTATTGTACTTGAGACAAGTGGCAGCATATAAAGTAGTTCCCTCACTCTTGATTATATATGAGACATTTATTTTGACTATCACATCTCGTTTGCATTCAAAAAGCATATTTATCAGTACAGAGGCTTCAAATAAACAAGTGTTAAAAATTCCAAGATTAAACCAAAAGAGGCAAGGGTTTTTCTTATCAAATTATCCATTGTATGTGGATTATCATATACACGTGAAGGGATTAATAGGAAGGCACAAGGGTTATTAACTATTTGAAACATTCCTAAGATATACTCATGGAAACCATGTAAAACGCAACTAAGACCAAATACGATAAAGTTAGCCATGCCTGTAGCACGTTCATAGTAAGATCACATACAGCTTATTCAAAGCAGCTAGTGCATATCAGTCACATCCATCTAAATCCTTGAAAAATGCACGG